TAGTAGTACTTTTTGCCATCGGAACATCCAAAACAGCTGTGACAGTTTGAGTGAGCATGTGAGGAGTTCTATTTCATCCTTACTGACCGCCAGAGGCAGTGCTTAACACTGGATATCTTCCGTCTCGCGCATGCGCAGGTCGAATATTTATATCAACAAAGTCACCTGTGACCTCGGATGACCCCCATCGTCTATAAGTTCCGGTGTCATCCTGAGTTCAGTCCTTTTTCATCTTCTCACTACGAAGGTTAGCTACCATGGTAGCATAAACAAAGATGTGTCTACGATCAAGACATATTAGAGCTTGTCGCTGTAGCTTTGTGACCACCGGTCGGAGTTGCGGATCTCTCGCCCTCCAAAGGCTGCGACAAGCTGTCCCTCTTCAAAGGGAGCGGTGTGTTTCGCCGTTTGGACCATCGAGCCCCGGACTGGTGGATGCCCCTATCATCGGTCATCACCAGTCTGATAAGGGCCACCTAAGCCCTGAAGACGGCAATCGGTGAGATCGATTAACATTGTCTTCTATAACCGTTGTTCGTTTTCCACGGTTGGCAGAGCGCTACCGCTCTAGGTAATCGATTGGCACGCTAACGAGAGCATAGAATATACGCTGTCGGCCCGCCCTTCACAGTGAGCAGAGTGTCTTTGCTCAAGCAAAGGCGATGAGATGCTAGTTGGACTAGATCGACATTAGCATTATGTCCACTGGTTTTGTAACATTACGGCTATCACAGTTAGCAGAGTGTTCCCGCTCAGGCAAACATTGTGTCCATTGAGATTTCATTTTTACATCTGACATATTTCACCGTTAGCAGTGTCCTCACTCAGGCTAACTTGGTGAATGCTAGTTATACTAAATCAACATTGATGTTGTGGATGCAGCTGGTGGTGTTCTTACTCAGGCTAACCTGGTGGGACACTAACTAGACTAAGTTAATACTGGGATTGTGTCCATTGATTTTGTAGCATTACGGCTATCACAGTTTGCTGAGTGTCTTCGCTCAGGCTAACTGGTGGGACACCACTATTTACAGCGATGGTCCTAGTGAAGAGTGTCCTCGCTCCCCTCTCACTGTAAGGATTGTTTTTTGGTCTGTTTCCACAGTAGCAGAGTGCTCTCGCTCAAGCTAACTGGTGGGACACCAATATCCGCAGCGACTGTCCTAGTGAAGAGGGTGTCCGAAAAGATCACTCTCCTCTGACTGCCCCCTGCCTGTTCTCTCAACATTCAGCAGAGTGCTCCCGCTCAGACTGATTTGGACTTCCGCATCAACTTGTGGGACAAGGGTTCCTCCAGAATCGCAGCCATGTTAAACTCTCCCGGCTGTAGGACCTGTATAGCTCCTCTTCAGCCTGAGGACGGCCCTGACCTCTTGCCTCGAGCATCTGAGGGAGGGCCTCTCGGAGAACCCAGGCGGGACCTGCGGCGTGAGGTCTACCTCCCCCTGTCAGGGCAGCTGAATCCAGCCCAACCTACCCTGATCATTTGCATGGCGCTGGCACGCCTGCAGTGGGATACACAGCAGCTGGAACTTCCACCTGTGAGTGCCTTCTTCAGGGGCCTTCCCGCCCTCACCACCTTTTCTGTTCCTCCCTCCGAGGAACATCTGAGGAAGTTGCATGCATGCTGGAGAGACACCAGGGCTCTCTCCCGCCTTACATCAGATGGTCGAACCCTGACGACCATGCAGGAGGTGGCAAAATTTGGCCTTGCACGTATGCCAGCCATTTAGCCGACTATTGCGTCCATCATAGTTTCCCCTGAGGAGACTCTGAGGCCCGATGCCAGGTGCCCTCAACCCCAACGTCGGGTCAAAGATAACCTGCTATCCAGGGCTTATGACACAGCAGCGCTGTGGACCGTATCGACAACTCCCTCTCCCACCTCATGCTTTCCCTCGCAGCTTCTCTGCAGCAGGCTACTTTCGACGCTTCCACCTCCAGCCTCAGTGATGCTTCATTACAGGCGTTTGCGCTCATGTCGAGGGAACTTGGACGTATGATGTCCACCCTGGTCCAGACTCGCCACCAGGTTTGGCTGGCGCAGTCACCCCTGTCTGAGACATGTAGGAGGACCCTCCGTACTGTCCCAGTGGAACCTGGTGAGCTGTTCGAGTCAGCTGCTATACAGGCGCTTCAGCAAACTGTTGAAGCTAGCCAGACCAGGCGCTTCAGCGAATTGTTGAAGCTAGCCAGACCAGGCAGCAGTTCTCTGGTCTTTGCAGGGACATGCCTGCACCCCGCAGACCTAGGGGTCCCACTTTGGCCCCCCAAGGCCGTTTTTTCACCGTTTTGTACTGGGCGCCAGCCTCCAGCTTACCCTAGTAGCCGCCACAGGCCTCAGCGTCCTGCTGAGAGGCCGACCGCTACCCATACAACCCTACCTACGTCCCCTCCAGACAACCTCCGAAATTGGGGACTAACAGTCCCGTCCCGTCCCCCCCCCCTCCCCAAAGCCTCCAGAGGCAGGGGGGCCAGGAGATTTCTCCGGGCCGGCTGTCGGTTTTTTCTCCCAGCAGCAGATTTCCAAGGGAGAGTGTTTCACGTCTATCGACGCCTGTTCCCATGGTGCATCACCACAGGCAGTTTCTTTGTTTCGCCTTTTAAGGCCGCCACTTTCAGTCCAGGGTGCTTCCATTCGGACTCTCCCATCTCCCCATGGGTGTTCACAAGGTGTTACTGCTGTCCTTTACCCCTGCAATCGCAGGGCGTGAACATACTGCCGTACTTAGACGACTGGCTGACCTGGGCGCCATCCCGGCTTCAGGCGCCACAGGACACTGCTCGCCTTCTCTCACGTGGCCCGGTGGGGCCTCAAGGTGAACATGGAGAGGAGCTACCTGAGCCCTTCTCAGAGCATAACCTTCATTAGTTTGGCCCTATGAGGGCCTGTCTGTCGCCCTAGCATGTGGACAGCAACCCCCACAACCTCTCCCCCTTCCGAGGGGGCAGACGGTTGCCCTACATCCTTTTCTCCGACTATTGGGTAAACTGACAGCTGCCTCAACTGTCGTTCCCTTGGGCTTGCAGATGACTGAACAGCCTTCACTTGGATGCCAAGTGGCACAGATACAGGGCAATAATAGTATCAAAACAGTGCCTACTCACACTATCCCCATGGAGGGAGAGTGCATATCTGGCAAACAGTGTCCCCATGGGCTCGGTTCCATTCCACCGGTAGACGGTCACAACAGATACCTGCCTCTCAAGGCGGGGTGCAGTGTGACAGAACAGGACTGCTTGGGGGCAGTTGTCTGCTCAAAGACTGCAGGGGCAGGTCAATGTTCTAGAGCTAGCGCTCAAGCACTTCCTGCCATATTTGAAGGGAAAGCATGTGCTTGTCCAGTTGGACAACACCTCTGCTGTGTTTTCACATAAACCATCAATGGGGCACCAGATCTGCAGAAGTTGCTACGGGGATCACCGTGCCCTTCTGACTTGGGCGGCCCCTCGCCTGACCAGCCTGCGGGCAATGTACCCACCAGGAGAACGGAACCAAGTTGTGGTTTTCCTGTTCCGTCACAATCCTCCACCGGGAGAGTGGCGGCTGCATCCAGACGTGTTGTCGACCCGCTGCCCCCACCGGGTCTCCCTGACGGAGAGGACCAGTCCTCTGGGTCAAGATCCTCTGGCCACATGTGAGCCAGGGCATCTTGACACAGAGGATCTTCTTTATGCCTTTCCACCATTCCCTCTGATCTTGCTAACGCTTGTCAGAGTTCTTCCCCGACAGGAGGGATCTCCTGTCGCAATTTGGTATCCCAATCACTGCCGCCTTCAACTATGGGTCTGGCCGCGGGAGGGCCTGACCGGATGCAGAGTGGCTGCATAGAACCAGTCAGACTGACTATTCTGAATGCCAGCGCGCGGTCTACCTGCCTGCAGTACAAAAACAGGTGGAAGCTGTTCTCTGACTGGTGTGCGGGTCAGAACAAGGTCCCAGTACAGTGCGCCGTGCCTGCTGTACTGAGTTTCTACAGTCCCTCCTAGATAAGGGCCGGTCTCCCTCTACTCTTGGAGTATACGTGGCCGCTATTTCGGGGCAGCATACTAAGGTCGATAATGACACAGGAGAGAGCCACTGATGTCCCTCTTCCCCAAAAAAAGGCCCCTGCATGGGACCTACCCTTGGTACTGGACACCTTATGCTGGTCTCCTTTTGAACCCTGGCACAGGCGGAGCCGAGATGGCTATCGGCCAAAACGTTTTTTCTCCTTGCCGTCAATTCAGCTCAACGTGGGGGCGAGCTGCATGCCCCGTCGGTGAAGGAATCATGTCTGAGGTGGAACTTGGCTTGGGTGTCACTTTGTGGCCTAATGCAGCGTTTCTCCCAAGGGTGTTGACATGTTCGCATATCAACCAGCCTATCCAGCTGGCAAAGTTGACCCCCCATCGGGAGAGGCGAGGTCAAGGCTGCTGTGCCCAGTGCGGGCCCTCAGAGCTTATGTGGAAGCCACCGCCTGCATATGGCAGTCGGAGCAGCTCTTTGTCAGTTATGGTGAGCCTAAGAAGGGCTGTGCTCCTTCTAAAAAAACAGCGCCTATCCCACTGGATAGTGGAGGCCATTGCCTATACATACAAGGCGAGCGACTGCGCTCGGCCATCCGGGGTGAAGGGTCACTCTACCAAGAGTGTCTCCACGTCAAGGGCAGCCCTGAGAGGTGTGCCTGGAACACTGGAAGATATCCAGTGTTAAGCACTGCCTCTGGCGGTCATCCAGGATTCATAGAACCGTAGTTGCATTCGTAACATTCGTTTTACTGCCATGTCAGTATACTATGACCAAGCGCCGCAGGCCAGTGTCTGATGAGCTTGTCAGCAGGCTAGGTGGCTAAGAAGGCTTTTTTTTGTTTTTCATTATTAAGGCCTGCAACATTAACATCTCTCTATCTGGTAAGTGTTTCATCCAAACAAGTTATGTTGAGTGTGGGTGTGTTGTGTGAAACCTGACTGTTGATGCTTGGTACCCGGTTGAGTCAGTGTACTATTTTGTGTTGCAGGCTGAGAATGACACAGAACAGCTGGAGCCGTGGCTGCTGAAGGAGATGGACTCATGCATTTCCAACATTTTCCTCAATGAAGACCAGGATGCTTTTATTCAGCTCTTCAAACTCATCCTCTATGAAAGTGTAAACGGTACGACTCTCAGAGCTGATCTCTGCTCTCTCACCTTTCTGAAATCACTCATGCATTTTGCAATTTTGTAAATGTGCCATTTAAATGCTATTAGAATGGTAATCATTTTGCACATGGTACTATGGAGATACAAATTCCTGTGGATGATGTATATCCATGTGATACACATCTGTGATTTCTTACACCCCTCATATCATGTACTTTTATTTGTCAGGTATATAATTCACTGGATTAGACATTCCTGTCTGTTTTTTGTTTTTTTATATCCATCAATAGTTTGAATTTCCAGAAACATCTACATTATGATATACTATAGATATATCAAGATAAGCTTACTTTTATTGCCCATAACTGCTGGCAGCGAATAACTCCCCAACGCAACTTGTTGAGGTATTAGTGTGTGTATTTCAGAATTTTGGCTAGCTGTTTCCTCCTGCTTCCAGTCTTTATGCTAAGCTAGGCTAATCCGTCTCCTGGTTCCGGCTTCATATTTACCTCACAGACATGATAATGGTATTGATCTTCTCCTCTATCTCTCAGCACAAAACATCAGACTAGGGCTGCACGATTATGGCCAAAATCATAATCACGATTATTTTGATCAATATTGAGATCACGATTATTCATTAATTTTAGGGACATCTTTTTATTGCACTTTCACGTTTAAATGAACAAGAACACTGCTTCCACTTCCATTGTTGTGCCACATTCTGGCTAATGTACAAATCTTTGCATCAGACTGGTCCTATCACAGTGCATCTCGTAGAAGGAAAATATAACTAAAATAGTATCAACACTTTTTACCCAAAATGAAATCAACAGAGCATTGCTTTCACTTCCATGTTGTGCTACATTCCAGCTAATGTACACGTCTTTGCATCAAAATATAACTTATACGGTTGTTATTCACCTGAAGCAAAATATAAATGACTGTCTGCTCTCTGTTCTGTTGTCTGTCTCGCTACTCTTCTACTAATACCGGTGTCGACTGCAGACAGAACTTTTTTTGAGGCTGCCGCTGCAGGGTGCGCGCATGACACCTCCCATCTCGTTCTCCCCCTGGTGGTCGGCTGACTGTTAGTTGAGGAAGCGCTTGATTTGATATGTAGCAGAGCACGCATTTTAAACGTCAATATCGCAGACGATCATGATCATTTAATTGTGGCAGCCAAAATCGTGATCGAGATTAAAATTCGATTAATTGTGCAGCCCTACATCAGACTCTGCAAAAAAGTGTTTTCCCAAAATGTTGTGCTGATAATATTGAAGTGCTGGCCCTGTGCTGTCCTGAGTGTAGTGTAAAATGAATGGATATATGAAGGCTCGTATTGTTTTCTTTACCTAGTGGACTACAGGCACAGTGACACAGGGGCCTCTGCTCTGATGGTGGCAGCAGCTCAAGGGTTCCTCACACAGATGGAGCAGCTGCTCAGCATGGGGGCAGACATCAACATGAAGGCATCCAATGGCTGGTAGGACGTCCACCATGTTGTTACCCAGCTGATGTTAGGCCGCTATGTTAAATGACGTGATGTTTACTGTGAGTCAGGACCATTGTTATTAGTGTTCCTCTCATTGTCCATGGACATGAAGGAGCCAGGAGTACATGTACTGTACATACCACATTGTATTGTTTTAATATTCCTCCAATGCATTGAGTGTCAGTGTTCATCTCATTTCAGGACAGCCTTAGACTTTGCCAAACACTTCCAGCAGACAGATGCTATGGATCTACTCAAATCTTCCATGTGAGTGTAATGTTGACCACGATGTGCAAAACTAATCTAACTCTTCTAAAAAGGGGAAAAGGAGTAATCGGTTTCTTTTTTTTGCTAAAGAGAGGCAGTGTTAATAGCATTTATTTGGTGTTTCAGAAAGAGTTTCTGGAATGTTCAGTGTAAAAATGCATCATTCTCAATATATTAAACATACATTTGGAATAGCTGATTTTCCCTTTACTGCAGTGGCATTTGTGGCTATATGGAAATGAATCTCCATGAAATGTGCAATGGTCAGCCCATCTGCCCCCAATCATTTTTGCACAGTCCCTAAAGAAGCTACACATAAAGTAAAGGCTTGTCTCAATTGAAATACAGTTTGAGAAGGTTTTATAAATGCGTACTGTGCAGTCCTCTGGGAGAGGTGAGCAGCCTGGATGAGTCCACTCTGATGCAGTGTGGCAGTGCAGAGCTGAGCCCTGAAGAGCAGGAGCTGCTCAAGCTGTACCACCACAGCTTTGACGATGAGCGGGTGGACCTGGACCTCATCATGGATCTGCTGCACAACATCTGCTCCACCACCAGTGATGGTGAGCCTCAGCACTTCATTTGAACAACATAGCTGTTTACTGTATGATTCTCACTACCGAGTCAAACCATTGACTGATGAACGTGACTATTAATCACAAGCAGATTCAGGGAACACGGATGATATTTCAGGATTATTACATTCTGTGCTTTTATCTGTTGGTCTTTAGGTGCTGTCTTGATTTTTCTTCCTGGATATGATGAGATTGTGACACTCCGGCACCGCATCATATATGACGATAAGAGATTCTCCACCCACTCTGAAAGGTGAAACATATACTTTCCATAAGAAGAATGTAAGACATTTGAACATCATGCAACATCTATAGTATTCTACGTTTTTAAGATATGTTGACTTGAAGTCATAAGTTAAAGATGTTCTTAATGGTATTGTAATATTCAGATAAATACAGGATTCTTAAAATATATGATCAACAAAATATTGTACGTATAGATGTAGACTTGGTCCTGGATTAATCTGGGCCTTATTGCCATGTGTTGAGTTGATTGTGTTGAGCATAGTATAGCACAGCAGCATATTATGTAGTGTGTCTTTGACGGAGGTGTGTCCTCTCTCAGGTACCAGGTGTTCACTCTACATTCAGACATGCAGACTCTGGATCAGAAGAGAGCCATGAAGAACACTCCACCTGGTATCAGGAAAATAGTGAGTCACTGGTGTCACTCAGGACACCCAAAGCTGCATCCTGTCTACACTATGACTAGTAGCTGGTGACCAGTAGGGTTTGCCTTTCGTATGGAACTTTACAGGAAATTTGTAGAATACTAACTCACTATCAGACGAAAGAATAACATTTAAAAATGTTTTTTTCCTTTCAGATTCTTTCTACAAACATTGCTGAGACCAGCATCACTATCAGCGATGTGATCTTCGTCATTGATTCAGGAAAGGTCAAAGAGGTACACTCACTGGAATTGGATTTACAAAACAAGAGTAAAATGAGGTCTAACAACAAATAAAAGTTCACACTTGGCGGTTGGTAATGAACTCCTAAATGTTTTTCCTGTTGTAGAAGTCCTTTGATACCCTCAGTCATGTCTCCATGTTAAAGACGGTTTGGATCTCGAAAGCCAGCGCTTTGCAAAGGAAGGGAAGGTAACCAACAATGTCTACACTCTTGATCTTATATCTGACCTCATATACACTCAATGTCTGCTCTTAATGTCGGTGTTAAAGAATCTACTGAATGTGTGACCTGTCCACAGAGCCGGCCGCTGCAGACCAGGGATTTGCTTCCGCCTCTTCAGTCGACTTAGGTTCAACAACATGCTGGAATTCCAGGTTCCACAGCTGCTGCGGATGCCACTGCAGGTAGCAACACACACACACACACACACACACACACACACACACACACACACACACACCCACCCACACACACCCTCCATAGCCTGTTACGTGTGGACGTACTTGCTTTCAAGACATTCTTCACAGCAAGCGTTTTAAGATTTACACTCAGTTTTTCCACAAAATGAATGCTCTGCTTAGTGTTCATCATTAACTGCTTATTATTATTATCATTCTATTACATTCACTGCCTCGATTATTTATATGTTTTCAATTCAATTTAGCTTTATTCGCCTGAACAAAAATATGTTGCGAAAGCATTTTACAGAATACACATATTGCATATTAAATACACAGGATTCATATGCAGGTTATACTGATACAGTCCAATATATTACATGAAATATATTATACAGTTTAATAGAGTTACTTAATTTTGTGGATCTATTAGTGACTGTGTTTCTCAGGCTGTGGCAGGCAGATACATATTCAGCTGCCAGAGGAGCAGCTGTCCCTTCACCAACTGACAGTTTCTCCTCTGGGCTTAACATGGCAAAGTTTGGTATTTTCTTTGTTATTATTGGAGGATTGTAATAGAATTAAGTAGATCTTGATGAGCACCAACAGAGACCTACTTAGAATGCAGTAGCCTTAGTAATGGGCTGTAATAGTGATAATATGTTGTGTGTGTGTAAGGAACTGTGTCTGCAGACCAAACTGCTGGCCCCCTCCTCCTGTCCAGTAGCTGAGTTCTTGTCCAAAGCTCCACAGCCTCCTGCTGCACATGCCATCAGGAACGCTGTGCAGATGCTAAAGGTAACAAATATTACTATGTACCTCAATTATTCCTGATCTCTGACACAAGCAACTACTCAAGCACATACAAGCCTACACATCCACATTCAGTATTGCAGTCAAAAAAAAAAAGGTCATGGAGTTGGCACCACTACATAGTACCGTTCTCTGCAGACAATAGATGCTATGGACCAGTATGAAGACCTGACTGATCTGGGCTACCACCTGGCTGATCTCCCCGTGGATCCCCACTTGGGCAAGATGGTGCTGTGCGCTGTGGTGCTCAAGTGTCTGGACCCCATTCTAACCATTGCCTGTACACTGGCCTACCGAGACCCTTTCATCCTTCCCGCTCAGGGATCTCAGAGAAGAGCTGCACTACACAACCGCAAATGTTTCACCTCCACCTCCTTCAGCGACCACATGGCCCTGCTGAGAGCCTTCCAGGTAGGTGGGGGATGAATATGGGAAGCCCTTGATTTGAGGGGAGATGTAAAGGGATGCTTCTTGTAATCTTATCTTTTTTTCTCCTTTGAAATACATTCTAGTTTTACCTCCTCAGGTCTCTATGAATTGAAAATACAGCATGCCTGAATGCCTGATTATTGTTTAGTTAAACTGCTCATGCATTATTGCTGTGGTTTAGAGGGAGCAGCAACTTGTTATCTACCCATTATCAGGCTGCTTTTTTCAAAACAAGATGGGCAATTGGATAACTGCTGCTGGATATCTGGGCCTTTTACACTGTTTGAGACAGGGGGGATGGGCGATATGGTCAAGATCTTCTATCACCGTATATGTCATTTTAGATGACGATACAGTAGTTGTTCTGTAAATTCAATTAAGAAATGGTTTAAAATAATCATAATGTACTTCATCACATTTGATTAATTTCTACTTTTACCGTATTTAGAACTTCCATACAAACAAAAACAACTGACTCACATGAGACAAAGCTTGAGTTAAAAACAGTCAAAACAGTAAAACCAAAATACTTTCAAAATTGAAGCTTTTAAATTTCTTGAGAATAATAATTTCAATTGTAACAGATTTCTAAAATTAACAGACGTACATAAATACCAGCCTGACTTTAGTCATTGCAATACAAAAATCACACACATTTGTATCACGGGAGAATAGCTACTGCGGTTGAAGTGGTATTGCCAAATATCTACTGTTAGACTCATTTTTACTGTCACACGGTACATATCATATCGCCCAACCCTAGTTTGCCACTTTTTTTCCCACTTAAAGGACCAGTGTGTAGGATTTAGTCATATCTAGCGGTGCGGTATATAGTGCAGATCTCTGCCAGCTGGTGTTGGAGAAGTACAGCGTTGTTTGTGCTGGTAGTTCTGTTAGCTGTTAGCCAAACACACTGCAAACTCTTGTCCTTTATTATCAGCAGCTACTGGGGGGTGTAGATGCTCTCAGCTGTGTCATCACTAGTGGCCCCTACCAGACGGGGGCCTTTAAAAGTAGTGAGTGATGAGCAGCAGGCAGTCAGTGGCAGTATAAAACTTTTTCTGTGAAAGTGTGAATCACATTAACCGCTAGAGGTCCTTGAACATGCAGCCATAACTACACCCTCAGAATATGATGCAGTTTGCTGCAGCAGAATGAGAGATTAGTGGACAGATACAGAGGTTAACAGTCACTCACACACTCACTCACGCAACCGATTGCATGATCCTTCTGGTGGAGAGAATGAAGTTGAAACAATAGGCTGTAAGCTACAATATAGCATAGACATTCAGTCATTCATCATCAATATCACATACTTTATTCTCACCTCTTTTTAAGCAGAATATATATATATTTTTTTTTCAACTGGTCATATAGTATTTTGGACAAAGAAATCAAAACGGAGAAAACAAAACAGGGCTCCCGACTCACTGTTTCCACTACGGCCTTACTGAAAATGTTAGGAGCACCAGAACAACATTTTGTCGCACCACTTAATCGACATGTAACGCAACACACCCAGATTTGTTTCCATCTTAACTGTATTATGACCCTGACTTTGTAATACAATATTAACAGAAGAAATTTTGTGAAATTGTGCTTTTTTGAACATGAACACCAAATAATAAATTGTGCGGTCAAGTCTTTCGGGAATGTCCTATAAAAGTGGGCTATTGTAATTGTGCTGAGCTGAGATGTTACTTTCTTTTTGATTTAGACTACGGTTTTCCAATCCTTTGTTAGGCGCTCTTTGGTTTATTTGATAGGTGTGATTCAATAGTTACACATAAGTTTGGCACAACACAACTCCATGGCTGGAAAACAAACAATGGAAGAGTTGGATATTGGACAGATCGCTGTGAGCTCTGCAAAGTATAACTTCAGCATCTCTCGGGTGCACTCTGTCTGGGGGCAGTTACGACCCAGTAATTGTTTTGGGATTGCTTGTGACGGCCCTACAGTCCCCCATTCACCAAATAAATCTGTGCACTGTTGATGAATCAGAATTGTTTTAATTTTAAAGTATCCAATGAATGAATGTAGCACCACTGCAAACCTGAGTGTGGATCTCTCTCTCTCGCTCTCTCTGTGTCTGTCTGTCTGTCTGTCGATATATGATGATTTAAAGAAGAAGAAAAAAATCGGGGAAATATCAACAACTCACACTGGTACTCCTAGTTATGAAATGTAGGAGCACTGTCTCCAAAAATGGTCACAAAATGTGACATAATGGTCGCATTATTAGTCAGAGTATTGTTATCAAGTAATGTGTGACAATTAATCATGATGCACATATAAAGTGATATTCCCCAGCTGAATGGAGTTCATGTTTGTCCTGTGTGGTGTCAGGCATGGCAGAAGGCCCGCAGTGAAGGCTGGGAGAGATCCTTCTGTGAGAAGAACTTCCTGTCCCAGGCCACCATGGACATGATACTCGGCATGAGGACACAGCTGCTGGGACAGCTCCGAGCCATTGGTCCGTTCCACTTTCATTTTCATTTTATATTCCACACCAACCAGGTGTGTGGTTTGACCCGCCATCACCAGACTGCCTGTTATCCACTTAACATCCATTGTGTGTCTAGATCGCTTTGTACAGTAAAGCATGTGGCGGAGACAGAGACTTCATGGTGCATTCAGGTTCACCTCGTAAACTCAAGCTGTTGTAAACCCTCCTGCCATCTTATTTTTGTTGTTTAACAGTTTTTCCCAGTTTGCTGGTGAAATAAGTTATTGTTATCGTATATTAAATACATCATTTAAATGTCAGCACATGGCGTTAGTGTGGTACGTTCCTAAAACATGCACCCTTGAAACCACGTAGCCTCTCATTTTAAAGAAGAAAATGACAGTTGTCAGGAAATAAAACCAATGATCTGTTGATCTTTATGAAGCAAGACCCCATAGTCTAACGATGGCATAGATCCAAAACACATTGTGACATTTAAATCGGAAGTTTGAATCGATTGGAGAATTGTGGCCCCTACTCCCAGTAAATATGTCCCGACATATAAAAGTACAAACATGGAAGTCTGACTTTGAAGGAAGAAAACACATTTGTTATTGAAGTAGTTTTTGTCGCATGCATAAATGAAGACTGGATTTAAAGCGGCCTGTTTTTTCCCAGGTTTCGTGCGAGTCCGTGGGAGCAGTAACATCCGGGATGTGAATCGGAACTCTGAGAACTGGGCCGTGGTGAAGGCAGCTCTGATGGCTGGCATGTATCCAAACCTGGTCAATATCAACCAGGAGACCTCCCTGCTCTCCTGTAACCGGGAGAAGAAGGTCCACTTTCATCCCACATCTATCCTGAGCCAGTTCAAGGAGGTAGGGGAAAAAATGATTTCATTAATATGTAATCCTGTCTTTACATTGTGGTCTCATCACTAGAAGGATCTTAACTCTCCTTTCTATCCACTGAGCGCTGTCCAGAGGTGTCGGAGCTTTACAAGACCTGCAGAATCCATGCCTAGTTATTACACACATTATGAACACATATCTTGTCAAAAAATTCTGTAGAGAAAGAAAGGACATGGATATAACCCTTTAAGCATTTTGGTTTCTAGCTTTTTAAAAGAGTCAAATCCATGTAGGTTTGTCCTCTGAAGCCACACAGTTAGTGAGCCACAGAGGAGGGAACTGCATGTACACATGGATCCCCTGCAACTATGGCTTGGTGCATATTTTCTTTACTTTCATGCACATTGGATGAAGTGGATTTTCTCTGCAGCCCCTATACACAGCACCGACAGACAGATTAACAGACAAAAGGTTTTAGGTGTGTGTGTGTGTGTGTGTGTGTGTGTGTGTGTGTGTGTGTGTTTGTTTGTTTGTTTAGAACAGCCCAGCTAAATTGGCCCAGGCCCTTCCCACAGACTGGTTCATCTATGACGAGATGTGCCGAGGCCACAGGATGGCCAGTGTCCGCTGTTGCTCCATCATCACTGCCATCACTGTGGCTATATTTGGAGGGTGTGCCAAACTACCCAGCTCTGCCCTGCAGGAACCTGCTGCACAGACAGCTACTGGTAAACAAACAATTCAAATCTCAGGACTTTGTTCTTCATGAATATTTATTTAAGTATGGTGATCTCTGTCTGTCTGTTCAAAGCTGTTTTCCACAGCAAGATATTTTGACTATTAGTCAGATTGCCATGAAATCAGCATGGTTCCTGATGTCACCTTAACACTGCGGGCCAGTGTGCACTGTGAATATTTGGCAAAAAGCTTTCTGTCCTAAGCTCTACATTGAGATTCTGTCCACAAACTAATGGGTGACGAGGCACAGCCCTGGTTGAACCAAACACTGGTTGACAACATGCTTAACTTCCTACCAAAAAGGAGGACACAGACCAATGATGACTTATAGAGTCAGCCCCAGCATCCCCAATAAAGTACCCTGAGGGACGTGGACACAAGCCTTCTCTAAGTCCACAAACCACATGCAGGCTGACGATGAGCAAACTCTCACGACTTCTCCAGAAGTGAAGCTGTTCCACTCTTCCATGACCAGGACAAAATCTGCACTTTTCCTCCTGAATCGGCACAGCCGTTCAAAAGTTTGTGGTCACCTGATATATTGGTGTTTTCTTATTTCCTTTAAAAATTACTATTTTAACTGAGATTTAAAAAAAAAAAACTGTATAATTTAGACGCCAAATGTTTTATTTACATTTGAAATAGTTTTCCCCCAAAAGAAGAGTGAAACAACTCAAACTTCCATCCAGTGGAGTTCCTCAGTGTCACATGACAGGAGAATCCTGTTAAAGTTGATGTTAAATTAGTTTAATTATTGAACTGTAAATATTGAGTGAGGAGGTTTAAACTGTAGTTAGCTCATCTGATGTTCCAACAGTGCTAACCCTTCACTAACCTTCTGTTTCTATGGTGAAGTCTGAAGAAGAGCTTTACTAAAGTTCATGCCAGCCTGTTAATTTATTAGTAAAGAGACTTTCTACAAGACAAAGTTATCAGGGCTCATTCAGACACACACTTGGCCAATATAGCTGATTTTGATAAGCTTTCCAGGGGGCTAAGCATACTCTGATAACTGAATTGGGTGTAAACCAAGTCATCCCAACACTATCCAGATACAGTCTCTCCCAGAGAGATGTAGAGGGGTCGTGCTTCCCTTCAGTCCCCCAAACATTGCTTCCTCCCGTAACAATGGGATTTCTTTCACTATTCTCTGAGGCCAATGGAAAGGAGACATGCCCTTCCCAAATTTCTCATGTCTTGACCATTATTAAAATAACGTTTGAAGACATTTAATGTTTGAAATGTCATGGCACTCTCTCCTGAGTGTTTAATGATGGAGGTTGATTCAGAAGCCTTCCTGTTCACATTCAGTCTTTGTCTCCCTGCTCCTTCTTTCAGACAGTCCTCCGGTTGACCTCAGTGACAGTGAGACAGAGGACCTAGCTGAGATGAGGATAGATGACTGGCTCATCTTTCAATTGGACAAAGAGGTGAGACACCGACCTTTCCACCTTTTCCTAGTTTATGAATTTTGATGCGACTTTCCTCATACGACAACATTTGTAGTGTGTTCTATGTTAGTGGTCCAAAACTTTTTGGCTTAGTAAATATTACAAAGCTGTAAATGTAAATATGTTCATGACAGGATCCCTGACATTAGGAAATGGAAAAGTTTTGGGTTAGCTCAGCCTCCCTTTACAGACAGGATGGTTCTTGACAGGTTGAGACTAAGTCTCAGCCTATTTGACTCTGCTTATCAGTAGCAGTTGGCGATGGCATCTCTGATCTGCCTCAAGCGTCTGTTCAGTCTCTGGAAGCTGTAATCTATCAGTCATCCGTAAAAAGGGCCTGGAGCAGACTAATTGATTTGCAGCCTTTAATTGTGCAAACAGACCAACGTTTCAATACTTGACACAGGGACGTTTCAGCTTGTAGACGGCATGCGTGCTGCTGCACTTTATGAAGGATTTCACATTGGGGTCACATCATTGGACTATTAAAGGCTTCAAATCATCAGCATGCTCCAGTCCCACTTTCTTCTTGGAGGTTTGCTGTCCTCGAGCTGAGAGGCTCCTGGTTCAGCTGCAACCCTCTGCATCTAAGAATTTAGGTGTCACATTTTAATATTGTCTCGATTTTTCTGTAGAAACTTGAACAATCATGCTTTTTACAATAAAGAAATGTTTTTCAAATATTAACATATTTTATAATTTGACTACAGAATTAGTGGGCTAACCAATGTCTACTGCGTGTTCCCGAAAGGAAGGCATACTGTATGTTTGCTGTCTTTGTCCCAACATTTAGGAGTAGTTACTTTATAACTTGTGATCATCCAAATCAATAAAAATTTTGAAAACATAACACTCTGAACTTACAACACACATAAGACTAGCCAAACACCCAAATATAATCTAACTAGCCTCACCCTCACTGCTAAATGGTCTCAAAACCTTAATTACATCAGTTCAGACATTGGTTACAAAGGTACGATACATTGAATACAGACATATGGCAAGTGGAGATGATGTAAGTGACGTGGGTGTGTGATGAGGAATAAATCGGTCCAACTCGTTCTGGGTTTTCCTCACAACTTAAGAGAAGTCCCAACACCGAACCAGACAAACCCAAACCCACTTCTCCTCAAACTTTCTTAACCCTGAAACCTCCAGCTGCCTGAACAGCGCCGACTAGTGGCGATATCTGCTACCAGATCCTCAACTTAACATAACTGCAAACACTAAATATATGTAAAACAGGATGATAGATGGCAATTCAATAACACACTAAAGTCAGTGTATTCAAGCGTTAACATATGTTTGTAGCAACTGCTGCCTGAAGCTCTTTTTAAAGCATTCCATACCTTGTGAACCTCTGCCAACCACACTGAAGTGTTTTACCCTTTATAAAATACTTCCTCCTAGTCTTATATGTATGTGAGGGAAAGTATTTTGATATGAGTCAGTCTGTTGTTGAGCGTATACGTATATAACACTTTAGATTATACAGGTGTTGTGAAACATGTTGCTCCATATAACATTACAGTGATATATATAAGGCTTGAATAAAGACTTCTATAAGGTTACAAGTGCTCTAAATGGAAGAAAAAGCCTTAACTTTAAAAACAAGCCAATGTATTTGGACAGTGTTTTTGCCAGTTCATCAATATGAACCTGGAAACACTTTAAAAAAACATCCTTGTGTACCCCTGGAATCTCTCTCAATAACCTGACCATTTATTTTGTTACGAACATGTTCAAGATCACTTTGAGCAAAATACAGTGAAGCTTGCATTGCTTCTATTTAAGAATGATTTACTGCATTTTAAGCCATGGATCCACCTTAATTAGTTCCTCATTTAGATTATTTTTCAGATCATTTCATTTGTGTGAGATCAAAATATTTGTATCGTCAGCAAATTATACTTAATGTAGAATGCTAGAGAACCAAAATCCTTAATATACAGTATGAGGACACCCCATATTTAATGCTTTACTTTGAGATGTTGTAATGGGACATCACTACGTCTGCTAGAAACAATTCCCTCCAATACTTTGGAGAAAGTAGGCGATATACGTAGATAAAGGTTTCTCTTTTGTTAGGTCTACACTGTTGCTCTTGTTTGTTTCCGCCCCGCCTCCTTGACATTTTGTACTGAATCTTTTTACATACCATTTAATCTCATGTTACGTATCATGTTTTCAGGCTGCAGGACTGGTGTTTGACCTGAGGCAGAAGTGGCAAAATTTGTTCATCAAGAGGATCCGTTGTCCTTCAAAGCCTTGGTCTCAACAAGACGAGGCCGTCATCCAAACCCTGGTTTCTGTATGTCACATTCTCTTTTCTTCCTCGTACTTTCACTTAACGACACCAACGTAGAGCAATGCTAGTGTATGTAAGTGTCAAATATCGCATGAGCAGCCTCAGACAAGTTGTCATCATCCTCTTCTTTTTAGAATACTATGGCTGTGTACAGTTGTACTATAGTCATTGCATTAGTTGTGTTTTCCTGACTGAGGATGCATGTGAACTGTGGCTCCATTCCATAACTACACTGTTGGACCCCGACTCAAACTCTGATCTCTGTGCCCTTTGCAAGTCTCTCATATTATTACCTTGTTTGACGGTTGACAGTCGGTCTATCTTTTCACCATCCACAAGAGTAAAGATGGATAGATCATGTTCGGACTTGACATGTATGTTAATGTGTGCACTTCATTCATGAGGTGGGGTGTCTGGATCTCCATCTGTTTGTTAAAATGACTGATATGTGGATAGAATGCCTTTGGCAGTATAGTTTGCAATATGGACACCAGGGTGCAGGTAAATGACTGGAACTCAAACTGATGGGGCGACTGTGGCTCAGAAGATAGAGCGGGTCGTCCCTCAATCAGAAGACCTGCAGTTAGATCCCCATGTCGATGTGTTCTTGGGCAAGACACTTCACCCCAACTTGCTCCCGAAGACTGTGCCATCAGTGTATGAATGGATGAATGATATGTAGTGTAAAAAGCGATTTGAGTGATCAAAAGACGATACAAGTACAATCCATTTACCATGATGTTCCTCAGGTGCTCGCGGCAGAGGAACAAGCGGCAGGCCTGCAGCAGCCCACAGGGATTGGCCAGCGGCCCCGGCCCATGTCATCAGAGGATTGGCCCCAGGCTTCAGTGGAGAGCTCCAAGAACAGCCCCCAACTTCCCACCAACACCAGCAATGACAAGTATGATTGATGGATGGATGGATGATTGCAGTGTGATGTATTGTGGTGCTTAAAGATATTGACATGAGACTGTCCTCCCTGGCAGGGCTGTAAAAAGACAGATAAAAGCAATCCTCTCTGCTTTCTCATTCAGCGTTTGGTTATACTGTCACATTCTGAAGCAATTCTGCAGTGCCGCTTTATTGACACAGAAAGCAGAGTTCTCCTGCTCAAGGAGCCGTGCCAGCAGTGCCTACATGTACCAGGATGCATTGCAGGCAAACTTGTGGCGCCTGGAGGGTCCCTGCAGGCCACATCCTCTTGCTTGGCTAATGCAGCCGCAGCCTCGTCCTCTCTCCACTGCATTTCTTTGGCTGTATGCTCTGGCTCCAATATATATGGCCGAATATCTGAGTCAGCCAAACCACTGTCAAATGTTTCCTCGTCCAGAACATCCTCTGCACTTATATTTTGGGGAGGCCGTTTTCGCTGTCTGGAATCCAAGCAAAGAGAACAAGGGAGTTCTGTTTCTGAGCTCCATCTAGAGCACGCCCCCTGGTTACCCTAGAAATCCAAGCTGAAAAAGCAGCCTGTCGTACTTCTTTGCATCCACCTGCATCACAGTCACATCATGCCCACGTCCCTTTTCCTTTTTATAATAAAGGCCTGAGGTCTCTATACTCCTGCTGTCTCAGTCTCCTCCGATCTGCACCTCATCACATTCCTTCCTTTACCACTCCACATAGCGGTCCGTCATGTCTCCATATTCCTCCTTTGCCCATAGCTGATGCACAACTGCTGGGCGGTCTGAACAGTTCTGCAGATGATGGGACTCAGAGTTGAAAGTCAGGGGTGAGGAGAAAAGGAGCTACACTACCTGTTCAGACACTGAGCCTCACATGAGGTCTGAGGTGGGCCAGGAATGTTAATTCGATAACTCCAGCGACGACTGTACATGTTTAAGACTTTACTTAAAACTTATGCATGACATCAACAACAATGGCTACACGTCTTCCGTTCCTCTAGAACCAAAAGCGTTACACACAGTACTTAACAAACTCCCCTTTCTCTTTTAAGAAAAACATAGTCACAAAAACAAATATTTGTTTTTTAGAACCTTAAACGTATAAACACAGGTTTAAAATTGCAACTTTAATGACTGGAGTTTGAGGGTAGTAAGGATTTTGTTGATTAGCTCGTTTAGCCTTTAAGTTGCCATACACCTTCGCTGAGAGCCCTCAGCAGAACAAGTGCAGATGTCCCCTTCTTAGTCAAGCAGTCAGCGAGCTGTTCCTTGGAGGCTGGCCATATGATCTGCTGGATGGTCCCAGAGTGGACGAGCTCCTTGACGCTGCTGATTTCGAGACAGAGTCTCTTTTCAGTGACTGTTTTGGTGGACTTGACAGCATCAAGAAGAGAGTGATTGTCCGTTACACACACAATGGGCAAATCGTTCCGTGTGCAATCACCTGTGGTAAGTTCTGAGTAGAGTGTAGCCAAAAAGACTGCACTGTCAATGCCATCTGCAAGTGCCAAAGTCTCTCCTGCTAAGGTGCTTCAAACAACTCTCCTGATCCTCTTTGACTGCCAGCATATGGGTGAAAATCTTCCATTCTCTCCCGTAAGCATGACCAGGTGTCCGCCTTGAGTGCCTCCGTCTGGAAGATTTCCCATCGAGGAATCACTGAACACCACTAGTTTCAGCGAGCTGTCTTTTCCCAAGTGCTGAAAGGTCACCTCTTCTGATTTCAGTTTCCTGACAAGTTTGTTTGCAGAGTCTGAACAGTAGCATGTTTGCACTTGATGCTAGGTTGGATATGTCACACATTGTCGGGTCTACTATACCTTGCTACCCACAATATTTGGCCAATCTTTGAATTTAACATGTCAGTTTCAGTGTCAGAGGAGCCTCTCGCTGTGTGGCTCTGTTGGGGTCCACAGTAATGGGTTGTAGATTCTTTATGTAGATACTTTGTTGCACTTGTATCTCATCCTCTAAAGAGTGAACCTCCATTCCATTGCAGCTGAAGCTGTTGTGCTCTTCACGTCCAACTTGAAAAGCAACTTTCAAGTGAGGGATGACTGTTGTGGAAAATGTTTCTGAACCACCCCAGATGAAATCATCCACGTGACAAGCAAGGAGTCCCTTCACATTGTAGGAGTCATCCAGCCGGTAGAACACTGCTGGGTCAACTTGTGACACAGTAGCTCCCAATTGCTGCATAGTGTCTTTCACTCTGTTGTACCAATACAGAGAAGCATCTGCTAGGCCATAAACACACTTTTTTAACTTCCATAGAATTCCTTTGCTCTGAGCTTCTTGGGGGGGACAAATATAGACATTTCGGGTTAACTCTTTGCCTTGTAAAAAGGCTGCTTTAATGTCCATAGAGTTTAGCTGCCATTTCTTTTGACATATCACTGACATAATCATTTTTAGAGACTCCGAGGCACATGTAGGTGAGTCTTTAGGGAGCTCCTGAGTGTTCATTTCTTCAAAGTCTCTTGCAACTAATCTAGCTTTAGGTACAACACCATCAAGTGTCTCCTTGAATGTGCACACCCACCTCGTAGAGATGCATTTCTGGCCTTCATCTTTCACCTCTTCAAACACATCATTCTTTTTCCAGTTGCTGAGTTCACTGTGTTTGGCAGACATGAAGGCATCATCATTCACAATAAGTATGTCTTCTTCAGGATAGCTAGCACATAACTCGACATGCTCAGATGGGACCACTTGAAGATTGTGTACTCGTCCTAAGTCGGGTGTCGGCAACCTGTGGCTCTTCAGTCCCTCTGTTGCGGCTCCCTGAGTCTACATCCACACTAATACGTTTTCGTTTGAAACGATCTCCGTTCACACAGCGTTTCAGCATCGTTTTCTAAATGATCTCCGTCCAGACTTAAACGCCCGAAATCGAATATCGCCTGAACTATCGATGGATAAATCCCAAAAAAGAAAAAAGTCACGGAGGGAAAACAGTTTAATTCTGCGTGGACGTATTCATTTGCTTTCACTGCCAACGATGCTGACTTACCTGTATGCTTGAAATGTGCAAAAAATGTAATGTTGAAAGACACTTCCAGAACAAACACACAGCATGCTGAAAAGTATCAAGCTGGAGATGAGCGACAAAGAGCGATTTCTCAACTGCTGCAGCAAACTCTCCTCTTCATAAGAGTTTGATATAGTTTTAACAGGTAAAATAGCAATAAATGTCAAGAATTGTCTTTATTCTTGTTTTATAATTTCATAAATACAACAAACTATAGTTTTTGTTTAAATAAATAATATAACTATATACAAAACTTTATAAGCTGTGATATCAGATAGCTTTTGCGGTTACAGACAAATTTTATTTGGTGGAAAATAGGGCAAACTGGCTCTTTGGATAGTAAAGGTTGCCGACCCGTGTCCTGTCAACAGAACTAGTAGTGCCAGAAATGTCCTCAGGCTCAATGTACTCCAAATTATACCAGTATTTGTATGTTCCAGTGGCTTTTCCTGCCCTGCTAAGGATTTTTCCTATCTGTGTATGTAACTACCTGTCCAGTTTTCAGACTAAGGCCTTCACAAGTTGTGGTTGAGTTGTTCTGTGATGCGTCCGATTGACCATGGCTATCTCCTTCTGGCTGTGTGTGAGGGGGTTCACTGTTCTCCTCACCATTTGTAGGCGTCTCTTCCTCACTTTCATTTTCAGTGTCATAGTTATTCCCATTAAAGCCAGGTTCTGGTAAGGTCTGGTATGATGTTCAGTCCCTTCCTGCTGAATGTCCCTTTCTCCCAGCACTGCTTGTGGGCTATCTACTTTTCGAAGCCTGGAGTGATGTACACGAACGTAAGTGCCTCCATGCCTCACAAATATCACCGCACCATCTTGGCCGATGACCACACCTGAACCTTTCCATTCTGTACAATCCACCCGTTTGTAGTAGACTTTGTCCCCTGTTTCGTATCTGTCATCAATGGGCCGCAGTTGTTTACGAAGGGCTCTTTGGATCCTTTCAGAGCACTCATCTTTTGTAAATGCTCTCCTTGCAGCATGTAATGTTGTGATATGCTGGGCTATCCAAGTACTCATATTAGTACCTTCCAGAGCTGGCAGCTTGTTAGTGAGAACTGAAGACAGATTTGGGTTTTGTCCAAATACCAGCTGGTAGGGACACTGTAGCCATGCACGTTGTACATAGAGGTCTTTGCCGTCATCCTGCACTGAAGCGTGTGAAGTGGTCAATTGCATGCAGATACCACACTCCCGGCTCTAGCTCATGCAAATCCACAGCTACAGTTTCATTGTAGGTTGAGGCCATGGGCAAACCCACCGCAGGCTTTGGATTTGGTTTGCTATATCTGATGCACGTCTCACAGTTTTTTACAATGTCCTTAAGGATTGTGTTGCATTCATCATCAGCATTACCTGAGCAGGCCAGTAGTTTCTTCAGTCTGTCAACAGAGGCGTGTCCAAATTGCTTGTGTAGTTTGAACAGAACTTTTGGTTTTTCTTTTATGTTTTCTGTCACAGTGAGAATGTCATCATCATTCTGGAGCTCATGTTCATCTGGGTTACTCTCATCTCTGATGTTCACACAGACTGAATTTGGGATTTTCCTTAGTTGTCAGTTATAATCATCAAAATTAAAAGAAATAAACATTTGAAATATATCAGTCTGTGTGTAATGAATGAATATAATAGACAAGTTTCACTTTTTGAATGGAATTAGTGAAATAAATCAACTTTTTGATGATATTCTAATTGTGTGGGTGGGTGGGTGTGGGTGTGTGTGTATACATACACACACACACACACACACACATTTCTTTCTCAAATTCTATTCATTAGTGTTGTTGACTCTAAATATTCCAGAAAAAGTTTCCAACATTTGTCACTAAAGCTTTCCTCTCAATCACTCTTAGACCTTTTTTCAAAACTTCTCTCTCCGACTCGTACCTCTGACAGGACAATAAAACATGGTCCACGGTTTCTTCTTCTCCACAAAATTTACATTTTCCATTATTATGCTTTCTAATAACAGAGGGAACTGTTCAGTCAGTCTTCAATCAGAGGAGCGGCGGTTCGATCCCCGGCTCCACTAGGAACATGTCGATGTGTCCTTGAGCAAGACACTTAACCCCAAAATTGCTGGTCTTTAAGTTTGGATGTCTTTTCATATATTTAACTATGTTATTATTATAATTGAGGATATAAGATTGGGCATATTTTAGTTCTTGGATGTCATATTTATTTAAACATTTATATAAATAAATATATGTGAAGATGGCGTCATTTCTAAATCATACCACCGTAAATTTAAGAAATTTAAAAACTGAACCAACTGTCCAAACATCACAGCTACATAAACAGGCTACACACGGAGGAAAAGCAGCGCTGCAAGTTTCCGTCAGTGACAATTGTGCTTTTCTATTAATACGTTTTGTGATGCTTCACAATCATTAATCGATGGACACATTCCAGTGCTCTGACTGAAAACATGTTGACATCAAGTAGGATGTAGGCTTTCTCAATAAATATCTTTATTTACAGATGCTAAATAAATAACCTTATATATTATTATTGTTATTGCACAAAATGAGACTAGATGGAGACTAGATTAAGCCAACAATCTAGCGTTAAGTATTCCAATTAGACAGAAAATTAGGATTTATATTTTTTTATACTATTTATCCTGTTAATTAAGGATAAATTTGTCTCTGCATTTGACCCATCCCTAAATATGGGGAGCAGTGGGCTGTCTTTGACATGCGACACGTCAAAGGCCATGGTTCGAACAACCAACCTTGTAGTCACCAGACAACCCTCTTAACAAAGTGAGCCACGGTCGCCCACCTTTTCCAATAAAGAAAATCTAAGAGCCAATCGGCTCTTTGATCCGAAGACAGCAAGAAGTTTCCCATCATGCCCTGGGGTCACGCAGTCAGTGGAGAGCAACTGCAGCGCCTGGCTCTAAAATCTGCGGCCGCCTCGCTCACGTGAGATCATCGTTACGCATGTTTTCATGACGTCGGAGCAAGTCGGACGCAAATCTACCCAGCATGCATCGATTCTGCGCACGCCTGGCTCAAGTCGAACGAGCCTAATAACTACATCAACTGTACATGTTTAAGACTTTACTTAAAACATATGCACGACATCAGCAACAATGGCTACACGTCTTCCGTTCCTCTAGAACCGAAAGCGTTACACACATGCGCACCAGTGTTGCCAACTCCTCAGTAAGGAAAGTAGCTATAAGTAGCTGTCCTAAAAGTCGCTAGAAGTCGCTAAATGATGTCATCGCCTAATTTGCATAATTGTAATGAGCGCTGTAGGGGAGAGGCGGGAACAGCGGCGGCTTTGCGCATGCGCGATTCATTTGCAGTCTGGACACGGAGACTGTGGGTCTCCTTTCTGCAGCTGGGACTGCTGCGCGACTAACTGCCTTTGAGTCCTTTGGGGCGGCGGAGGGGCTCACGGCAGCTCCCGCTGCTTGTTCACGGCAGCTCCCGCGTGCTTTCACGTCAGAGTCAAAACACCAGAAAAGTCTCCAACAACACCAGAAAAAGTAGCTAGATTTGTCGCTAGTAGCTTTTAACAAAAAAAGTCGCCATGAGGGTTTGGAAAGTCGCCAAGTTGGCAACACTGATGCGCACTGGTTAACTCGGTACATAACAAGGAACACCCACTCCAGGACTTCCATGTTTTCAGATGTGAGGGTGGGAGTTTCATTGAGGGAGGCTGCCTGGAAAAAACACTATAAAAGCCAATTGGAATTTATCAGACCACAAAACGGGAAGACATCTACATATGAGAACACATCTACAATATAAAACCGTAGAAATCACAACTAAAGGCTGCTCACTAATATAAGCCTGTTTCATTTTAAGGCCTGGTTCTCTCTGCGGTTTAACTTAATAAACTCCCACACTGGTGTTTGATAATAATCATTCATGTTATATTTTAACGTTTCACTTCATGCTCACACTACTGCTCTATATTACCACTTCCTATCAGGTCTCGTAGGATGCCAGCCTGTAGGAGCCTTCTACAGGGGAAAGGCCAGCACAGAGAGGAGGCCTCACTGCCCATCAAGCAGCTCTCTGATGAGCCTCACTCCTCCAGCAGCTCCTCCTGCTCTGTGACCCTGGACAGTCCCTCTTACAGCCCCTGTCCTTCCTCCTCAGGAAAGGTATCCACTGTCTGTTGAGCATTGTTGATCCTCCCCATTTTCCTTTGCTCCTTTGTGACATTTTAAATCCTCTCTGTGTATAATCTTTGTGTGTTAATAACATCTGACAAATCGTATTGATGCATGTGTTTTTGTGTGAAAGGTGACAACTGTTGCAGTCTGTTGTTTTTAGAGCTTCACCACTTCCACCAGGCATAAGCCTGTGGGGAGATTATGTATTCAGCTGTCTGTCTGTCTGTTTTTTTGGTTGTCCAGTTGTCTGTCTGTCCGTCCATGGCATACCACTGGACCCATCACCCTAAAGCTCATTTATGATAGTATGCTCAAGGACCTTTCATGGTTGTAGTAATTCACATATATTTGATGGACTATTTTTTGGACTGCTGACTCCTCATTCCTCTTAACCAGCCACAAGGAGCCACAAGTGTTTTGCATTTCTTGATATCGGTCAGGCTTGATATCAAACAAGCCTTACCTAGTCTGTTGCGGGCCACATCTTGGCTTTCGTCGGGGCTCACTAACATCCATAAGAAAGTTTGGTTCCATTTGGAAGCGGAGCATCTGCAGACTAAATCCATACCGGACGTTAGGTACAATAGGAGAAGAATAAATCCCTCTTTTTGTTATCTTCCCTGCCATCTTGACTGTAAGGGAGCCGGGAGGGCCACCTGAGTGAGTTTGGACTCTTCCTGTTTGGGAGGGGAGAGGGAGAGACACCTGACTGAGATCTGCACTCTACTGTACTGAGGGCACCTTCTACTTCCCAGTGTTGCTGGAATTCTTGGGGGGCAAAGTGTTGTGGCGAAGACAGTCTTCTTTCAAACTACTACTAGAATTTACTGGGGGCTTTAAAAGAGAACTGCGTTTATTTATCAATTCTCTTGTGTAACAATGCCGGCCTCATGATGGACAGTTTGAAGCAAGCAGGGATGAGGAGCTGGCTGCAGAGGTCTAACTTTTATTTTCAAACTTGTAGTCTTCAGACCCAACACTGACTCTATTTACAGGAGTCATTATCAGACTTCATACTGCTACCTCTGGAGTCAATACAGACTGTACCATATTTGCCTTTCAAAGCACTTTAACACTACATGTCATTCACCCATTCATACACTGATGGCACAGCACTCGGGAGCAATTTGGGGTTAAGTGACTTGCCCAAGGACACATCGACATGGACTAGAGGAGCTGGGGATCGAACCGCCGATCCTCTGCTTGACGATCTGCTCTACCGCCCCTCAGTAGAACGATACCCCCCACCAAATGGAAACACATGCTGGTATGAGACCAGTGGAGTTCCCCTTTAGTGAGGGTTTGTCTGCTGCTACAAGGTTCTCCCCAGCAGAATAACAGTTCAACCTGTACTTCAAATTCTGTAGCTTTCACTTCACCATTTATTCAGTAGCTCAGCTTAAGATGGCTTTTAGTGCATTTTATTTAAATCTGCTTAATTGCAGCATTATCAACATGATCAGTGTCTCCCTAAACTGAAAAAATCCGGCAGTTTGTTTTGGGCTTAGTAAACAATCCCAACTGCTTGTCCCCTTAAAGTGAGCATCATCCTGGAACATCCTGAACTCACCACTTCATGAACCACTTTGTCAGCAGTTTGTGGACAGCTGAAGCAGCCAGAGGAGGTCTCCGAGGCCACGGCCAAAATCTTGTGACGATGTTGTGGTGAATCCTCTGTAGAGCATCTCATGTCACCCCGAGAGCCTTCAGTGTTTGGATGGACATGTTTCATTGTACTACTTACTGGCTCATCAATAGATCGTTCTTTGTCGAGTGAACTATGCTGTGGTTTTCCTCTAGCAGACCTCAAAGCCACCGTCCCCCCAGCTGGTCTTCTCTTCAGTGCGGTACTTCATCATGAAGAGCAGCAATGTGAGGAACATAGACATTTCTCAGCAGAAAGGTATCTGGTCCACCACACTAAGCAATGAGACCAAACTCACCAAGGCCTTCCTGGAGAAGAAGACTATCATCCTCATCTTCTCTGTTCAGGGCTCTGGACACTTCCAGGTAACACTCTGACCAATGCTGCATGCACTTCAGTTTCTATTAATAGAGCTCAGACGTGTGCCAGAATCTTAACCCCACTATCAATATGGATCTTTAAAAGAAAAACAGAAGTGCTGCATTTTGTCTTTTTCACAGGGCTACGCCTGCATGACATCAGTCATCAGTCAGGAGAGCTGCCAGGACTGGGGCTCCATGGGACTCGGAGGGGTTTTCAGTGTTGAGTGGATCCACAAGGAGAGTCTTCCCTTCCAGTGCTCCCAGCACATCCTCAACCCGTGGAATGACAACAAGAAGGTCCAGATCAGCAGGGACGGACAGGTGAGAGGACGGTGCTGCTGGTCTAGATACAAGTCAAAAAGTGACAGACCCAACCAACAATGCATATTTAACATCACACACGCATATGTAGAATAGGACTGAAACTGTCAAAACTAAGCTTGACAAGAACAGTATAAACTGGTCAGAGCCATTTGCATTTGTTCAGGGTGATGATTACAGAAGGAATTCCAGGTTGTTTGTAGATATTTTTACAGGTCTTACTAGCGTCGACCTGGTGGCAGTAGCTGTTAGGACTGGTGAGAGGGCTGAAGGAGGTCCTGCTTGATCACTGAGTGTACTGCTCTTTGAGCTGAACCTAGTTATGCTATTTCATAGAGGCTGTTTCACTACATGATCCAAGCTGTTACGCTGTGCCAACGTGAATCATGTGAGGCCTCCCAGTGGCATCCTGCTCCCAGCAGAGAACACAGTCAACAGAAATAATTCTGAAGACTAAATCATAACTGAAATACAGGAGAACAAGGGGATCCTCCACACACTTTAATACCTTGTCCCATAGTGGATGGAGCAGGGTGCTCAGCCACATCCATATATTATCTCTTTCACAATTGCTCCTCATTTATTGCAGTCAATTCCTGTTTTCTTTTTTTTTCTTTTTTGTTCCCATGAGAGGGAAAATGGAATATGAGTTTATTTTTGAGCATTGCATGTGGCTGGGTTTAACACCTCACCTCTCATGGTTATGTCAGGTCCTCAAAATGTTTCTGAGCACAGGATCTGGGCTGGGGTTAGTGGAGGCTAGCTCCTGAGGAACTTTGAGCTGTTTTCCTTTACCAGCCTCTGGTATAGAAAGAGATAGCACCCACAGTCTAATGAAGCAGCTAATCATTCTCTCCTTTGAAATAAGTACATCATCAACACGCAGCAGACCAGCTGCAGGCACCACAGTCCTGGAGGGCCGAACATCTCCATACCCTTGATGCCATGTCTCGACCCTGGATGTGCTCCTGCATCTCACCACCTACCTAAACGTCTCACTGCCGGCTGCTGTAGGGATTGGCTCCTCGTCTTCATGATATATCCCTCACAATTGAAATAGTCCTTGATTTCTCTGGCCTAGCCCTCTTTACGTTGGTGTTCAACTAACCATCAACTCTGACTGTTTCAGCTCCAAGCATCATGATGTAGACACAGAGTCCTCCTCCTCTGGTCCACCAGAGTCCTGCTCTCTGTCCTGATGTCCACCTGTCAAGTGCAGCTTGATCCTGGATGAACGATGGATCCAGGTCTCTGTGAAGATGTGGGCTCAATAGTCACCGACCTCCTGCTGCTGGTTAGCCTGAGTTTTCCTGTGACCAAACACGAGACAGGAGCCAATTGGGTGGTGAATTAGCCTCAGATCCTAGCTGGGTTAGCTTAGTTTCCATCTCGACTCTCCTCTCTCTCGACTCTGCCTTCACTAGCGTTTGGTCCAGAAGGCCTGGCTGGGTGGTCGGCCGTGAGCAGAGATGCTCTCAAAGTCCACTCCCCACAAATGAATCCAATCCCAACGCTTCCTTCCCCAATGTTGAGGAGTGTGTTCTGTCAAATGCCACAAGCGCTCCTTTAATAGAGACGCAAAGACAACAAGTTGCTGCTGTGGTAGGGCTGTGCTTTTTTTCTTAACTTGTTGTCCACAGCAGCATGTGCTGTGGTAGGGACGGTCACCTGGAGTGGGAGTGGAGAGTGTTCATTGGAGAGTGGAGAGTGTTAATTCGAAAGTGGGCCCTTTTACAGTGTCCCTTGTCTACTTACTAAATAATCCCTTAGCAAATTTACACAGATCTTTATAAAAAGCTGCCCTTGCTCGTCCTTTTTTCGTCTTGTTTTTCTAAGACCTTCTGCTTTCCTTGAAGTTGCCAGTCTGGATCAGAGCTCCTTCTGCAGCACAGTAGTGCCCACGTCCTGGCTGTCTGTAGCCTTCCTGCACTGCCTCCTTCATTCTCAGACAAGGCTATGAATCGTTGCTGCTGTCTTGACGTACTACCTTCTTCCTACTCGCACAAACATTTCCATGCCTCATTTATAGATTAAATGTCCCATCTTCTCAACTGTCTCTTGGAGTGCACATGTCGGGTCTGAATGACCTGTTGCATGCTCGCTATTCCTAGGAGGATTCACTCTGGGTCCCTGGCCATCACCCCGCTACGTGTTGCTACCCTCTGCTTCCTCATATCAGCCTGTTGCTGGAAGTCACCCGACTGATTTGATTGATCAGTACTTCTTAAGAGGTCAATGCTGGGTCCCTGGCCACTACCAGGAAGTCACCTTCCTCAAGGACGTATCAGCAATGCTTTCTTATGTGTGTGACACTGAAAACACTTCATTCACTGTCAACTGTCTTTACTGGACTGGTCTTATCAAAATCCATTTTGCTACATGTCATGTGTTGGTGACATACACCTACTCAACACAGTCAAAGGGCTCTGTACTTGTGTTGGAGCAACGGTTGGTATTTTCTAAGTAAGCCTCTAACTCCGTGACAGTATCTTTGCTGGTCCGTGAGGTATTTTGGTGCACAGGTAGAGAGGAACAGAGAGGTGGCAGGTGCATTCAAATGAGGCAGCACAAAGACAGTTGTTGGTATTTTTGTGGTAAATGAGTCTTAGATTTCCATATTTGTAGCTAAAGTACAGAAATGTTCTTAATGACATCATTTGATGTCACTTGTAAACATCATGTCAGGGTTCTACCAGTTGACGTAGGTGCAGCCTACATGCATTATAAAAACATAAGTAATATCATGAAGGACTGTGGGTAAAACCGAGCCTTACGAGGTGCTGCACAAACTGAACGGCAGAAAGTCGGATCATCTTAAATAAGTAGAACTTATGAAAACAACAGGAACGGATGCGTGTAGAGTCCTGTCCTGGTTCCAGATTATTCAGCTGTGTGTCGGGACTCTTTTATCCATCACGGGTGCCGAAAACACTTCCTCAGAGAGGATATACCGGTGTTTCCTCAGCTCCTTTGGCAAGCTTCCTCGATCCTCGAGATGGATTTCCGGAGGAGCGAGGAGTCGAGGAGGCACAAAATAAATCATGACATGAGAAAGACCCTCTGCTCCATCCAGACAATCACATGATTTCCTGGTTTCGTTGCGCTGTTGCTGTTGTATATTTGGGCTGTGACTAATGATCTTTTGACTTATGAATAATCTATCAGTTATTTTATTTTTTACGATTGATCACTTTTCAATGACGAACAGAAAATGGGGATGTCAAAGATGAAGCTGAAGTTTCATCCAACCGACTGACTGAGACGGAGATATTTCATTTCAAATGAGTTAAAATAGGGAAACATTTCACTTTTGGTGTGTTTGCTTGATAATTGACCTAAACAATGAATTGATCAATCAGCTCGAATGTACAGTGGGTACGGAAAGTATTCAGACCCCTTTAAATTTTTCACTGT